CAATTTTGAGTCTCTAATATTCTACTTTAAGAAAGCTTTGAATGGTTAAGGTTTGTCGCAAACTCACTCACTTCTTTTATGTGTCAACAAATAGCATGGTCACTATATAAGAATTTCTCTTTTATACATAATAATAGATAATAGTGGTGATTTTTATTGTTGTAAATTTAAAAATATTATTCGAATGTATCTTATAAATTTAAATATGTATATTTGAAGAACCTTTTATTTTTCATTTTCAGGAAAATTTTGGATATACATATTCGAAATAATTTAATATCCTAAATTTCTTTTAATTTTATTTTAATATTATTTAAAAAAATATTTATTTATAAGATAATTAAAATATAATTAAATTGAGTTATTATTAATAAAAAATAACTTAAATTTATAATTGAAAATTAAATATTAAAATAAATTTATGATATGAAATTAAATAATAAATATAATAATTAAATTTTTGATTATAATAGTGAAATGTAATTGTCTTTTAATTTTTTATTTAAAATTATGAATAATGTTTTTATAAAAAATATAAAAAAATATTTTTTAATTGTAACTTTAAAATTGATAAATGAATTATTATATTGTAATTAAAAAATTTATTATATTAAAAATATATTTATATTATAATCAAAACTTAAATGTTATTAATAATTAATAATATTAAAATAGAATATTTAATATTAAATGATTAGATTCTTATAAAAAATGATGAATAATTTATAAATTTTAGAGATCATTTATATTAAATATTTATAAATCTTATAAGAATAAATGAGATTATTTCAGATATGAATATACGAAAATTCACTAAAAATAAAATATTGAATTACTTCGGATATGCTTATTCGAAAATACTCTAAAAATAAAATATTAAATTATTTCATATATATATATATATATATATATATATATATATATATATATATATATATATATATATATATATATATATATATATATATATATATATATATATATATATATATATATATATATATATATATATATATATATATATATATATATATATATATATATATATATATATATATCCGAAAACACCTTTAAAAATTTTAAATTTGGTGAGATTAGATAAACACTTTCGAATTTTAAAAATATTTTGAATTTTTCGTCGAAGATTTAAAAGAAGTATTATAGGTGTGAAAAGCAATTCTCTTTTTATATAGATCTTACGCAAGAAATTCTTAATAGATCTTACGCAAGAAATTCTTAAAAGCCTCCTCTCATATATGTATGTTCTATTTTCACGGGGTCCTTGTCAAACATTATTAAAGTGTTGAGAATTTGAGACCGATATGTCTCATATTCATTGGTTCCTTGTTAAATTAATCAATTATTTTATTTTAGGATCAGTTTGAGAGTTTGAAATGAAAGGAAGAATAGGATTTTAAAAAAAAATTGTCCGAAAATAATCGAAGATTTTTGATCGAGAGGATTTTAAAAGATTTGTTTTTGTTCATAATACTACAAATTTTCTAATTTGTGAAAATTTAAAATTTATATTGAAAAATGATTTTGAAAGGTTTACATAAATTTTTCAAATATCATTTACGTTATTATAGTATTCAGGAAATTAAAAATATAGTAATAATAATATTCTTTTATCATTCTGTACAAAAATTTTTTTTTTTAAATATTAAATATTTTTCTATATCTTTTTAAAAAAAATTTTTGGAAGTCTTCATTGGTCTGACACCCCTATAAACTCCCAAATAGACATAGCCCTTATTGTTGAGATATTAAAATAAATTTGATTTGATTAGATTTAATATCACTACAAGAAAATTAGTGTTTAACGACACAAAAATTGCGACAGTTATGTGATAACTGTCGTAATTGACATATAGAGACAGTGTTTACGACAGTTGACACCAACCGTCCCTAATATTTATTTTGCGACGGTATATTTAACCATCATAATATTATTATTACGACGGTAAAACAACCGTCGGCCCCCATTTAACACTTTTAACATTGATTTTTCACCAACAACTAGTCACGACGGTAAAATTAACCGTCCTAAAAGGCATATCACGACGGTAAAGCACCCGTCGCACCCTTAAACCTTTCACGACGGTAAAATTATCCGTCCTAAAATTCATTTCACGACGGTAAAACAACCGTCGCACCCTTAAACCTTTCATTTGAGTTTGAATATATTGAATTGATGTTAGGTTTTCTAATTTGTTGTTTTAGGGTTTTATTTTTTTTAATGATTTTTTAGGATAATATTTGGTTAGGATAAAATATGTATCGTCCCTTATCCATTCTATGATACTGAATTTTGTCCAAACTCAAGCCATAAATCTTCCAACAACAACCGATAACATCATCATCATCATCAATGACAACCTTTTCAACTGAATTCTTATCACACACTCTCAATTTCAGAAACCACCCAAACCGCACTTCTCGCCGTTCAAATCCCAACACTATCGTCACTTCCTCAACCCCGGGCAACACCAACAACCGAAGAACAAGAATCAGGGTCAATGAAACAAGGCCAAAACTTGATCAAGATTACGATGAAGCTCTCATTAGGTCATTCAAATCAGCTAAGTACAATCGAGCTCTCCGCTTTCTTAAGCGCATGGTTGACAGGGGTTATAAACCTGATGCCATTCTCTGCCATTCTCTTCATCATCTTCCTCTCCATCTTTGATATTTCACTTTCTTTATAACTGAGCAGAGATTTCTGAGTTTAGTTTCTGTATCATCTATTCTTTTTTAGCCACTATCCATGTTTTAGCCCTTTTCATTAAACTAGCCTTCATTGTTTTCATTTTCCTTGTGCTTTTGGTATATTAACTTGTTCATCTGTTTCTTATTCCTGTTCAGTTTTAATTTGAGTTATCAGGTTGTAGTTTCTTGGGGTGTAAAATTATGGTTTTTAGATGTGATTCAAAATTTGCCATTTAGGGTTGTGGTTTTTGGGTAGGGGTTACAAACAGTTTCTGAGTATGGCATCTTTGACTGCTGGGGAAATTCCTGCAAACTATTTTGATCCTATTGATCAATAAGATTTGAGCCATTGAACACCATCTGCACTTTCCATCCACAAATTTTGTCGAGTCTGTATACGAAATGCAAAATCATTAGCATCACCAAAGTATGAGAAGTTTACAAGTTTTAACGTAAAAAAACTTTGGAACAATCTCACATGTAGGAAACTTTAGCAAGTAAATTACCCGTGACATAGAACAGAAAGCTAAGCAGTGTCTGTTGCGGGTTGAGTCACTCCTGACTTCACCAACAGCTTAGTCAAATTCTCTGGGGAGCAAACTTGATACTTAAATTTTCCAGAGGGTGAAAGAAAAACTTCTGCAAGTTCAAGCTTATCCGAGGTAAGACTAGTGGTGTCCATAGTTTTACTCAGTACCTTCAGTGCAAGTTGAACTGCTTCTTCCCTTGTGATATCATCCTTGTAGTCCTGTTTTAGAATTGACTGTGCTGCCTGATTGTTGGCACCAATGGCACAGTGCTAGTCCTGTTTTAGAATTGAATTGTGTGTAACCCTGCTTAGTATCACAGAGAGATTGAACCAACTGCTCAACGGGCATAGGCTCTTGGTACCCAAATGAGTAACGCTGTGCTTCTCCAAGATGTGAGATGTCTATATGGGCCAGTAACTAAATTACTTTTCAGCTTCATTCCAGCAAGGAAAGTGTTTCCAGGATAATCAAAACTTTCCCATAAAAAGTTCAGAGTGTTGTTTGCATCTTTCAGAACAAGATTTCCTGAATCCAAAAGCTGAACAACTGGTTTCACCACAATTCTTGATGAATTGGAGGACCAAACAACGCCTTTGGAGTCATCAAGAATAACAAGATTTCCCTGATCAGTGAGTTTCAGCAATCCTGTTGAGTTTTGTACAGGAGTATCTCTATTGGCAACCCACACAATAGTCGTAGGTGATATGGTTTTGTACCATATACCAAGGTATTGACGTTGTGGATCTCCAAAGTTGAAAAATCCTGCTTCAAAGGTTCCAGCTGCAGAAACAAGTGTTTCATGATGTTGGATAAACTGATTTGGAACAAGAGTGTACTGTTTAGAGAAAATAGGTATAATGGAGCAAAAGAAGATTAGCACTAACACCTCATGTCTGAAGAGGCATTCATAAGTAATACATGCTCGGAATTCAGTGCAGGGGAAGGTCACTGTGCATACTTTTGCTAGCATTTCTTCTTCAAATAGTCAGGAAACAACATCAGTGAGAAGGCTTATGAGGTAACTCTATCTATCTATCTGTTGATGTGTTTATCTGAATTTCATGTGTTTGATAGTGCGCATCGATGATTGTTATATATCTTCAATGTAACTTCTTTGATTTCCTCAGGATGGAAGAACAATGGTGGAGAGTAAGACAGCAGACCTGAGATCTCAAGGACTTCGTTGAATCCTTAAAGTCGGTATTGTGTTTACAAGATATTGTCTCTTTTAAATATTGTGTGATACTTCAAGGACTTGTTGAATCCTAAATTGATCGTGTTGAATTGTTGTTTTGGTGGTAGTTGAAATAAAAGCTTGAAGTTTGGTATTTTATTTGAAGGAAGGTTTCATCACAACATTTGGACCACCATTCATTTAATGGAAAGAAATATTTTTGATATTCCAATGTCAATATTCATAGGCAATCCCAAGATTCATATATACTTTTTTTTGTAGTTAATGTTTGTGTTTGAATTTCAAATTGCTAAACAGTAATACCTTTCTTGAGTATGTGGAATTAAAGTTCCTTTCTTCCGTTACCTTTTCCAAACCTACTACCTTAGGCAAACACAACTAAAAGCAACTACTCATATAATGAAATTGGTCTATATTGTAGTTATAATTTTTCAAAAGAAAATATTTTCTAGTGCTTTTGATTTTGATATTGGTTTGATTTTGTTGATTGATTACTTCATCCTAAATCTTAAGGATTACAACTCTATGGTCAAACAATGTTGATGTGATTTTTTTTTCCATTCTAAATGGTTGATCAAATTGAGTCATGTTCGCCTAATACGTTGGTACAATGTCGAATATGTCACGATGAAGATGAAGACTTAAACATGGATACACCTTGTTCTTGTTCTGGTACATTGCAGTATGCTCATAGAATATGTGTGCAAAGATGGTGCAATGAGAAAGGTGATACTACTTGTGAGATTTGCCAACAGGTCTGCACTTTGTTTCTATTGTCTTACTCAACATATAAGTTATTCAAATTTGTACGAAAAAAATGCTTAATTATGTTCCCCTCTATTTTGTTGATTGTGTTGTTGAATGCAGCAATTTAAAGGCTACACTGCTCCTCAAGCTCCTTTGTTTCACTATAGGTATTTAATTATTTATTCTTTAGTTAATTTCCTTTTCTACGGATCAAATGATGATAGAAGATTGTTAATTATCTTTCAGGGGCAACTGGGAAATTCCAAGAGTTGGTTTCAATAATCATCAGTTCATAGCATTGTTTCCTGCTAATCATGAATTTCTAGACTTTAATTTTGAATATTCAGCTCCCTCTACAAGGAGCCGCGTGTTCATTCGCATTGTTGCCATCATTGTAATTTCCATTTGCTCCCGTTACCTCTATGTTTTACTAAATTTGGAATCTTTGTATATTCAAGCTATTCAAGTTTACTACTGTGCATACTTTTGCTAGCATTTCTTCTTCAAATAGTCAGGAAACAACATCAGTGAGAAGGCTTATGAGGTAACTCTATCTATCTATCTGTTGATGTGTTTATCTGAATTTCATGTGTTTGATAGTGCGCATCGATGATTGTTATATATCTTCAATGTAACTTCTTTGATTTCCTCATGATGGAAGAACAATGGTGGAGAGTAAGACAGCAGACCTGAGATCTCAAATCAGGCGAAAAGGTGACACAAACCAAGCTTCAAGTATAAGGAATCCATGGCAGCAATCAGATCAGACACAGTCTCATTCTAATCATGAAACACAACTTAAGTAATCCCGAGACGTAAGGTGCCAACTGTGTAATCATGTATAATGGTTGCAGTCTCGTTAGTTGTTATAGTGTAGGCATAGATGATAGAACATCTTATAATGATTTTGGAATTGTTAATACATTTTAACTTAGTAGAATCTGTTCTTAGTCCCTCTCATGTGATGAATTTAAATTTAGTTCACATATGGAACATACATATTCTACTATCCAAGTTCTGTTAAATTCTTATGTAACCAAACAAGCTACATTTTCTTTTGTTTTGATTTCAGGTGGCATTGGCAACAGCAGCAAAATTTATAATGCTGGTATGTTTTCTACAACAACATTTGTTGAACACTACAACACTATGGTATAGTTTTTTGACTAAATAATTATGGTATGCCAGAATATATTTGTTGCAGGAACAGACACAAGCACGTACACACTAGAATGGGCAATGGCAGAGTTAATGCACAGTCCAGAAGTCATGTCAAAAGTACAAAATGAACTCGAACAAGTTGTTGGCAAAGGTATTCCAGTCGAAGAAACAGACATAGCCAAATTACCATACATGCAAGCAGTTATAAAAGAGACGTTTCGTGTACATCCACCAGTTCCGTTATTACTACCTCGCAAAGCAGAAACAGATGTTGAAATTGGTGACTACATTATTCCAAAAGATGCACAAGTTTTGGTTAATGCTTGGGTTATTGGCAGAGATCCAAGTAAATGGGAGAATCCTAATGCTTTTGTGCCGGAGAGATTTTTCAATAGTGAGATTGATTTTAAAGGACATCATTTTGAGCTTATTCCATTTGGGTCTGGTAGAAGAATTTGTCCTGGTTTGCCTTTGGCTATTAGAATGTTGCCTTTGATGTTGGGATCTTTGGTTAATTGCTTTGATTGGAGACTTGAAGATGGATTGAATGTCGATGATTTGAATAAGGAAGATGAGTATGGGATTACCTTGGAAAAATCTCAACCTGTGAGAATTGTTCCAATCAAATTGACTAAGCAATAATTTAGAATATATGCACGGTTCTTTCATGATGCAGCGGTTTGTAAACTCTTGATGTTGTCTGACCAAACAATACTGTTCTCTGTCAATGGAACTAGGATTTGTGGTCGTGCCAACATTTTACTTACTATAAGAACTAGTTATAAATAATGTGTAATTTGTTTTTGTTTTAATTTGGTGAATGGATATGGTCTTCTTCATAGAGTAAATTTAGGTTCTATTATGTTATTTGAATAAGTCACACTGTTATGGTCCTGGGAGGATCATGGGTTCAGTTTAGGTTATCCTAGTTTATAGGATTTGTTTGTTTCGATTTTCTAGGCACCTTTTATCCGTTTTATTAGGCACTATCTAGTGCATTCAGTTTCTTTTGCAGTTTCCTTTGTAAGGCTATTTATAAGCCATGATTCCTATTAATATATAAGTGAGAGAGAATAATGATTACTTTGGCAGGGTGATGGATAATAATTTAAATAAAAAATATATATAATAGAAAAATAAAAAAAAATCAAGACATAAACAAAAGTCATGGCGACAGTAGCGAACCGTCGTAATTAACAATTAAAAATAATCAACAAAAGTCATGACGGTATCGAACCGTCGCCATGAACAATTTAATCAATTTCAAAAGATATTCACGACAGTATCGAACCGTCGCCATCAATAATTAAAAGAAACTCAAAAGATAGTCACGACGGTATCAACCCGTCGTAAACTTGAACGACAGTTTTTGTAACCGTCGCGAAATAGGTTGGGGACACACACTTCTGCGACGGTAAAGCAACCGTCGTGGAAAGCAAATTGCGACGGTTTTAACCGTCGTAATCTACAAAAATACCTGTCGCAATCTGCCAATTTTCTTGTAGTGTATTTAAATATAATTCAAGTTGTGTTATCCCAAGCCCAATTAGAATTGTATATAAATAGTCATATTATATATATTCTTATTTTGTACAATTCATTCAAGTGAATAATATAATCTTTATTTCTTTTATTATTCTCTCTTTCTCTCCTCACTAAAAGTTACTCATACACTAACAAATTGGTATCCAGAGCTTCTGATTATTGTTCTTGATCAAGTTTTCAAGAACTTCACGTTAGAGATCGTGTTTTTAGGGCAAGTGAATCAACCGCTACGAAGATGGCTAGTGATAAGGTCACTCTGAATTCTCTTCTAATGCTTGACGACAATAATTGGATCCGATGGAAAAAACAGATGCAATCCTTGTTTGGCTTCCATAAAAACCTAGAAGTGGTTATCAACGGTATTCCTGCGTTGGCTACAAATGCAATCGACGAACAGAAGAAAAAAAAAACCACAATGAAGTCAAGAAGAAAGATTGCAAAGCTGCTTATTGCATTCAGATGGGGGTCGATGTTGCTAACTTCGACAAGATTTCTCATGCTAAAACGGAGAAGGAGGCATGGGATGTTCTGGTGAAGTATTACGAAGGAGGTGAGAAGGTCAAGGTTTTCAAGTTACAAACCTTGCATCGATAATATGAGTTGTTGTCGATGGGAGAAGACGAAAAAGTTGCAGAATATGTGTCGAAGGTTCATAAACTCGTCCATCTTATGAAGGGTTATGGTGAAATCATAATTGATAAGATGATAGTTGAGAAGGTAATGATAATGTTGACCTCTCACTTTGATCACGTTATTGTAGCTAATCAAGAATCCAATACACTTGAAACCCTAAAAGTGGAAGATGTGGTTGGTTCGTTGGAGGCGTATGAGATGAAGATTGTCGAAAGAAAAGGAGTCCAGAACTCGATACATGCACTGCAAGCTCAGTCATGGAAAAATAATGGTGGTTCCAACAAGTTCAAAGGTAATGTCGATAAGACTCCGAGAAAGAGGTCTTGGTCGAACCCTCACAAGCATCAGGTTAAAGACGAAACTTTTGAATCCTTGAAAAGAGGAGGAGGAAATTATCGAAAGGACAAAGAAGATAAAAAAAGGCGTGCAATGCTAGAACTGTGAAAAGTGGGGTTACATAGCCAAGAATTGTTGGTATAAAAAATACAAGGGATCGACATGCAAGGACGAAGGAGCGAATCTTGCACGCCAAGATTCAAATGATTCTGAAGGTTGTATAGTGGTTATGGCTGCAGTTGCAAATAACCATGTCGAATCTAAGATCTGGTTTCTCGACTCAGGCTGCTCAAACCATACGACTGGTCGAAAGGAATGTTTGGTAGATTTTGATGAGTCGAAGAAGAGAAAGGTAAAACTTACTGATAATAATTTGTTGCAAGCACAAGGTACTGACAACATAGTCTTTCAAGTAAGTAATTGAGGGAAAGTTATGATCAAAGATGTGCTCTATGTACCTGGAATGAAGTGCAAAATTCTAAGTGTTGGATAACTAGTCGAAAAAGGTTTCTCAGTTGTCATGAAAGATAGAGTTTAAAAATTGTTCGACACCAAGAAAAAATTGGTCTTAAAATCTCCTCTGTCGAAGAACAGGACGTTTAACACCATGATCAGTTTGACTGAAGTACAATGACTAAAAATTATTGTCGACCACAAGGATAGTTGGTTGTGGCATTTGAGGTTTGGATGTTTGAATTTTTGATCACTTAATCAGCTGATTACTCAAGATATGGTATCTGGTATCCCAAGTCTAGAGATACCCAAAAAACTATGTGAATGTTGTTTAGTCGTAAAACAATCCAGAAACTCTTTTGTTTCGACTATGCCAATGACATCATCATGCATACTCAAAGTGGTACATTCATATGTATGTGGTCCGTTCGAAGAATATAACATTGGTGGAAATGAGTATTTTGTTTCGTTTGTCGACGACTTTAGTCGAAAGTTGTGGATCTATGTGATCAAGAGAAAATACGAAGTATTTGAAATCTTTAAGAGATTCAAGATGCTTGTCGAAAACCAGAGTGAGAAGAGGATCAAAGTTCTGAGAACAGATGGAGGTGGCGAATACACTTCGAAGATGTTTGAAAAATTATGTGCAAAACAAGGTGTTGATCATAAGGTAACTACTCCTTATACGACTCAACATAATGGAGTTTCATAAAGAAGAAACTGAACCATATTGGATATGTAGAGATGCATGTTGAAGCAAAAGAATTTTCCAAAATATTTATGGGGTAAAGTTGTTTCGACTGTAGTTTATATCCTGAACGAGTTCCCTATCAAGATATTGAAGAACAAGGTTCCTGAAGAAGTATGGAGTGTCAAGCGACCATCAGTGAGTCATTTGAAGGTGTTTGGCTCTATGTGTTACAAGCATGTTCCTGATGAAGAAGAAGGAAGCTTGATGATAATAGTGAATCGATGATTCTGGTAGGATATCATAAGACTGGTGTGTAACGCTCGTAAGTTAATTAATTATTTAATTAAATTATTTTTGGAATATTTGTGATGTTGTGTTGTTATGTCAGATATTGTGTTGTGATTAGTTGGATTTAATTATTTTAGTAAGTTGTGGAATAATATTAGAAGAATGATGATATTATTTGATGTGGGCTTGTTGTAAAGGAATAGAAGTAGTATAAGGGGGTGTATTAGTTCTAAGCCCATTAAGGTATTAAGAGAATAATAGGTTATTTTATTACATTTTTAGAAGTAATAAGAAGAAGAAGCAGTAGAAGAATAAGGTTTTGAAAGGAAGAACGTGAAAGCTGTTGGAAAAGAGGAAAGAGGCAGAACGGGAATCAGTTGAAGAAAGTTATAGAGAAACCTTCAATCCAAGGTAAGGGTGGGGTTCTGACTCTATAATAGGATTCATGGTGATTGGTTTATGGGATTAGATGTGAAAGTGTTGTTTTATTCATGATTGAATTATATGTTGTTGTATGATGAGAATTGATGATTGGAAGATGAATGATGATGTTCCTATGCTGTTTATTTGATGTAGAATTATAGGATAATTATAGTTGATGATTTTCCATGATTAGAGGATGATTTTAGGGCTTAAAGTATGGAACCCGTAGTGAAAACACAGAGAAAATCGCAAAAAATACCCTTAGCAGAGCAGTATGTGTCGACCCCAAACGTGATGTGTCGATACAAGAATGATGTTAGAATCAGTATGAGTCGACACGAAGGAGTCATGTGTCGGTACATGAGGGCTTTCAGATTCAGGATGAGTCGATACGTAGGGGCATGTGTCGATACATGCGATATTGCAGACTCAGTATGAGTTGATACAAGAGAGGATGTGTCGACTTATGTAGCACGATCAGTTCAGTGCGCGTCGACCCAAGGCGTTATGCATCGATCCATGTTGTCTGGTTTTGGCAGAATCGTTTGGAAGGGGCTGTAACTTGAGTTTTCGGACTCCCTTTGAGGTGTCGTTCGTGAAGGAAAATTGCGATCAAAAGCGCAGCGGAATTTAAAATTTTCCTTTAGCGATCCTTACGAATGAACATGGTCAGTGATAGAAATATTTACCTCTTGTGGCGATTCAGACCTTTGATGTTGTGATCACGAGCATTGATGAAGAATAACGCCTCTACTCAGTCCACACGAACAGGTCGCTTCCGGTCATAGTGCTAGCTGATCACGAACGGAAACCTTGAGTGAGAGAGAGAATCAAAAAAGAAATTGCATCAAGTGAAATTGCTTCATCACAAGGGATCTATTTATAGAATCACTCGTGTGGGCTACAAGATAAAAGCCCAATTAAGGCTATAAGATAAAAGCCCAATTAAGCTTATGGACGTCATACCTTATGATGTACCATATATCACTTATTCACGTGGTACCTTACCACTTTCCGTATTACACTTAAGTGCACCGTACCTTACGGTGTTCCTTATTTATTCTATCTCTCATTAACCTGTCCTTATGTGTGTGACCCTGTAGGTTTTCGCGACGTTGGCAATTATATTAAATCACATATTTAATATAATAAACAGTGAGCGGTATCTAGCAACACATCAGTGTTACCCAAGTCACAAAAATGTCATGTGATCTGACCAAACCTTTTCCGTGATAATATTTGTGTTGTACAATTAACCTTTTGCCCTCATGTC